TCGCGGATGCGCATGGCTGGGCTGGAGGTGGACAAGCTCTACAGCCTGGATAGACGGCACGTGCTGCTCAAGATCAGGCTGCCGAGGATCAAGCTGGAAGAGGTAGGAGAACATATCGAGCTTGGTTTTGGTAGGGGTTGGGGGGTAGGGCTGGAGCTACGAGATCCCTCCCTCTGTTTCAAGTACAACCCTGTCCCTAAGGAGCAGGCTGCAAGAGGTAAGAGAGGATCACTAAGCTTGGTTTGGTGGGGGTAAGGGTTCAAAACAACCGTCTCTAGTTTAGGTAGAACCGTGTCCTAAGGAGCACGCTGGAAAATGCAAGAGAAGAAAGGATTTTGACGCCAGTAGCATTTGCGAGGGCATTAAACTTGATTTTAGTGCTGGGTATGGGAAAGGGTTTGAGGTTAGGATGACCGTTACGAAACCCCCAACTCTATTTCATAGATAATAGTAACAAGATTAGGGGCTAGCAGGAGAACTCCTCGGTAGTGTCGGATGAATGGTGTCACCATGTCCGGTAGAGTGTCGGTGAAAACGAAAGTATGTCCCTCTTTTCTCACGGCAAATCGACAGGTGACAGGCACAGCCAGCTGCTTTAGGTGCATGTCGTGCCGCAAACACATCTACCTGAATCTGTCTGTCAGGTTGAGGGCCCCCGTGGTCCGATGACCTATCATGGTTTGTTGGTTGGCGCTTTTCATTCCGCCTTTGTTTTGTTTTTCCTCTCTCTGTCTCTCTCTGTCTTCTCTGTCTCTCTCCCTCCTTCTGTCTCTCTCTCCCTCGGTCTTTCTCTCTCTCTCTCTCTCTCTCTCTCTCTCTCTCTCTCTCTCTCTCTCCCTGGAGGACTTCGACGAAACAATGGACATGCAAGCGTAACACACACGTCCGTCTCCCTCTCGTCGTGACCAGGTGGCCGAGGTGATGCGGCTCAAGGTGAGGAGGCGCGACGGAACCATCGGCAGGTTTAAGAAGGACCACCGAAGCTCATTCTCGGGGGGAACTAGCGGTGATCTGTTCCGCTCCGGCGAGAGCCAGAAGGTGAGACGTGGGAAAAGAAGAAGAAAAACACGCGGATGGGCGTATTATACGTTACTTGTATCTGTTTTTCTTGGTCAGAGGAGACGCCGGAAGTTTTTTTCATGGCACACACACATGCCATGGTATGTGCATACAACAAATAATAATGTATTCAAGAGTAAAAAGAGAGAAATGGCGCACAACGTGTCACAGCAATAATAATTCTGGCTGAGAGATGAGTCAGGAGCCAACCGATAGATTTGTTCCACTAGGCCTGACGGTGTCCCACCTTAGTCGACCCTTCAACCCACCTACCTACCATACTCGTTGCTTCCATCTGCTGCCGAAAATAATCGTTTCGAGCTATGTTTTAGCAGGAACGTATGCCCCTGCTTTTTAACCTACAGCAGCATCCGAGAAGAGAAGAACGTCCTTCACTATTTGGGCAGTCGTCGAAATAGCGCACCCAGAGTCTGCGCCACAGAAACACACGTAGGTTCTCCGGTTGCACACATGTACACACACGTGTACCCACAGGGGATATATCGCTGCATGCTGCTCAGGGCACCGCAGCAATCAATATAAGTTGGTCACCGTGCACAACTACATATTCATGGTTGTTCTATCAAGGGTTCTTTATCTGTGAAAGAGATTGATTTCTTGTGTTCTTGCAACAACAACAACAACAACAACAACAGTTCTACCAAGGGCTCTTTGTCTGTGAAAGAGATGGATTTCTTGTGTTCTTGGCAAGAAAAAAAATACAATAATAAATATTGAAACATGCGTTTCGCGTGCGTGTGCGAGGACAGGTGATCGACCACCTCATCCGCGCCAAGATCAAGGACGGCGGGAGCGAGCTCGACGATCGAACCGAGCTCGGGAAGCACATCTGCAAGCGCATGCCGCTGCACAACCAGGCGCGCCTGCAGGCCCTCTACGACTCCTGGGTCGTCTACTGGCGGGGCCCCAGTCAGCAGCAGGCGCAGCAGCAGGAGCAGCAGCGGAGGCTGAACCTGAGGATTCGCCGCAGGCACGGGCAGGTCAAGGCGCGCGTGGATAGCACGGCCGGCGGGGTGGTGTCGGGATCTGGGGCAGCCGCGGGTGGTGGAAGCGGGAAGGGTAAGTTGGGGTGGGAGTTCAGAGCACAGCTCCCCAGGCCCTGCACAGCAGTTTTTTCAGCTCCATGCCGCAGGAGTCAAAGACCAGTCCACCTTCGAACGCCACAGGCAGGGAGATTTCCTGTCGCAGTTTCAGGGGGGAGGGGGGGGGGGGGTGTACTCATATTCGGCATGCCGTAGTCGTTAGACCATTGACCTCGCATCCCTACAAAGCCGGGACGGAGCACGCCGGGTTCTCACCGGACCATGCTCTAGGGGGGGAGGGGGGGGCGTACTTGACTTAGCTGTTAGACCATTGCCATTGACCACGCGTCCTCGAGGGGGGAGCAAGGACGGGGCGGTACTCACGGGGGGGCCGGTGGTGGTAGCAAGCGTATGTTGCTCATGCTTGCTTGCTTACGGAAACCATGATGTGCTTGCATGCCTCCGTATTTTCAGCATGGAAACGGTTGCGCGGCCTCCACATGTTGTGTGTGTGTCTTCGCGTGCTGGGGTTGGATTCGCTTGCTGGCCAGGACGGCAGTATGTATATTGGCCATCGTGTCTCCGGTATAAGAGGGTGGTGTGACACAGGCCCTCGGCATTCTTACATCGAAGCCCCCTCTTGTACCGGAACAAGAGGCCACCCAATTCCGTGACAACCGATTTCGACCCTCTTACATCGAATTTCCCCTCTTATGGTACAAGGTACCATACCCTCTTATATCGGAGCCACGACTACACTTGTTTGTTTTCACACGGTGACCTGACGTGCATAATTTCTACAGGCGCTGCCGGCGGTAAACAGGGTGACAAGGGCGATGACGAAGACGACGAGAAGGAGTGGAGGACTAGGTCGGAGCGTCTGGGCGAGAGGTTCGAGGAGGCAAAGGAGGCGGTGGTGGCGGCCACGAGGCTGTCGATGGTGGTGCTCAAGGGTAGCATGTGGCAGCCCTTGGTGAGTTAGGTGCTCGAGTTTTTCCGTCAATACCGTGCACCAGGTGTAACAGTTCTTCGTATACAAATAAATCCGTTAAAAAAAAAGAAACACAGACGGACAGATTAGCCTGCCTACCCCCCTCACTGGGTCCCAGGCCATGGCCTTTGGACGTTGTTCACGGTTGCTTCGCCACGCTGAGGAGACTCACGTCTTTTCTTTGGTCAGCCGATTGGCGCCGTCGATGCTGACCATAATGACATAAAACATCCCCCACATCACACACATGTGTACAGCCGAGTCAAAGTGAGCGAGTGATTCATGCACAAAAAAAGAACGGCCGAAAAAAAATCGAAGTTGCTACGTTCCCATCGTCCGGCCCCCCTTTTTTTTCATTCGTTATATGCTCATCAGTAGTTCTGTCTCATTTTTCACCACTTGCTCTTCCAACTTTATATTGTTTCTCTCCAGGAGTCTATCGCTGACTACTACGGGGAGGCGACGGCGTTCTACTTCGCCTGGATGGGATTCTACACCCAGGGGCTGGTTATCCCTAGCATCTTCGGGCTCATCGTCTTCGGCTGCCAGGTATTGTATTGAAAGAATATACTGCTGTTGCTGTCAGTAAGGTTGGTTGTAGCTGTTGTTGTTGTTGTTGGTGGTGTTTTCGTCGCTGTGGATTGTTGTTGCTGTCAACAAGGTTGGTGGCTGTTGTTGTTGCTGTTTGTTGTTGCTGTCAGCAAGGTTGGTAGCTGTTGTCGTTGCTGTTGATGGGGTTGGTTGTGTTGGAGTCACGCCATCACCGACGCCACCGCTACCACTGCTGCTGCTGCTGCTGCTGCTTCTATCGCCGGAAGGTGCACGCGAGGACGCTCGACCACCCCATCATGCCCATCTACGCCGTCTTCGTCATGCTGTGGTCCTCGGCCCTGCTGGTGCTGTGGCGACAGCGTTGTTCGGAGCTAGCCTACAGGTATTCTAGACCCCTCCCCGTGACTGGGACCGCCTTCGTGCGATCAACCAGTTAATGAGGAAATAGAACAGGGACGCGGTACGCAGACCCTATCCTTATCCCTATCCCCATCCCTACCCCCGACTTCCCGGATTGCAAGCTTTGTCCAACGTGTTTGCTGAACAGCAAGACCCTGCGAATGCTAGCGGTGACTCGTGATGCGCACCATTTGTGGTTATGTTGTGCTGCCCCGGCGGGCCTACCGTAGGCGATGTAGGATATCACACCCCCTGGATCGGTTTTCAAAGGTCAATGGGACTACTCCTCGAAGAAGAGGGTGTCCAAAAAGTCAAGCGATGTGTGTTTCGGAAAGCTCTCGGCGAGAGGGTGCTAACGCCGCCGTTTTCGGCGCACCGCCACACTTTCTGCTGTGGAGTGGATTATCGTAGTCGAGCTTGGAGAATCGGTCCAAGGGGTTTTGTGATATCGTACAACATATGGTAGGTATCACCCACGGCGAAGGCTTTTGTTGGTCCGCTCGGACCCCCAGCCCTCCCTTGCATGTACGAGAGCAGCGGCTGCTGCTACGAATTTCGTACGAGGTGCGGGTGGGGGGAGGCACAGGTAGGTACGCCATCGATTTTTCAAATAATTGATTGCTTCGCTATCTAGGAGGGAAGGGGGTGCGAAACAACCCGACCTACCGCGGGCCAAGGACAAACGGCTCTATGTGTCTGGAGGAGATTTTTTATCAGTTACGCCACTCCCCCCTTTTTCGGCGTTTGGCAGCAGCCTCTTTGGTCGTGGAGCATACTTTTTAGTTTGTTTATTTGTTTGCTGCTTGCCCGCCTTGTTGGTGGACGGTGTGCTCATTTTCTCGTTTTGACTGCCTCTCTCTTGTCTCTCCCTTGGTCCTTTCCTGCTCTGTACTTCCGTGGGGTCTCCTTTGGAACGTGCCCAACCCTTCCCGGAAATAAGCATTGTACTACTTTTTTCTGGGTCCATTTATGGAAAGGCATACCCGTTCGCGGCAGCAGTTGGCTTGTACCCACGGACGGTGTCCGCGTCAATTGTACCGGTACGGGTTTGGTTTCACAGTTAGACCAGAACCTTTTTTTAACGTGAAGTCAACAACATCGGCAACAACATACAACACACCGGGAACGCGCGTAAATGGAAAGTTCGAAGCTCTCGTCCTGCCCGTCCCCTACCCCCGCCCCCCGCTTGGTGCTTACGCGAGAGCATGTTCGGCGATACCCCGGCCACTGTCCTCCAATACTCCCAAGTTTGCATTATCAATAAGTCTGAGGCTATGATACACGCCACTATGCGCGCGCCCCCCTTTTTTAGCTCCGTTAGGAATGCGAGGTCTACCGAGTACGGCAATGCGTTTACACGATGGTACGTGATATCGATAGGATAGGATTGGGAAAACGCTTTCGAGCCACCTTCGGCAAGGTCGGAAGGAACGATTGGCCATCGGTGATCGGTCCTGTGGGAACAATGCTTCGTCCTCTCGAGGACGGGTGGTCAAAGTCTAACCGCTAAGGCATGCAAAACATAACAGTACATCCCCCCCCCCCCGCCCCCCCTCCCC